ACTCTCGGGGACATGGGGTGGGGTGGGAATCCCGGAGTGGGACACTCTTGGGGACATGGCATGGGCTGGGAATCCCGGAGTGGGACACTTTCGGCAACATGGGGTGGGCTGGGAATCCCGGAATGGGACACTCTTGGCAGCGGCACGCTGTAGCAGCAGAGAAGGAAAAGTTGGACTCTCTTTGAGTTATCTTTTTTTAATTTTATTCTAAGTTAAAGTGAATGGTGCCTATGTGTGGCGACGGTACACACTTTTCACTCTTTTTATTTTGAATACATGTGACAGTAAAGGCTATTCTATTCTAAGGAGATAGCCTAGACCCTAACTTTTATCTTATTTAATGGCAAGTGTAAGATGCTGTGCTCCAGATGTAATTCGATTGATTACACTGCATAGCTTTAAGCAAAACACACCTTATTCTTACCTTATTCTTATATAAACAAAAGAAAGAAGTATTGGTATAACTTTAACTCTATTGGAAAACTTAACAAATAATAGATATTTTCACTAACAACTGTTCCAGATTAGTAACATACCAAAAACACACCCTCAGCAAAGGCAAAGTCAATAAAACAGCTTGTCTCACATGCGATCTTGGCGGCAGAGAGAGATCCCAAGTGTGATGATACTATGGCTTTAAGAGGTGTATTTTTTCCTGGTTTCTTTTATATAATGAGAAGTTGAGGCAGAGGTGCCAAACTCTCTACTCCAAAGCCAATGAAGTAAACAGCTTGTGAGGCCTTGGGTTTTTTTTTTCGAGTTGGATCAACAGAAACTGCCTGAATAGGTGTGGTCAAGCTCGCACAGAATCAGAATTTTAGTTTAGCTTTCAGTAGCAATTTCTGGGGTCTTGAAGCTGGATATACAGGCTCTTATTCCTCTCTGTGTTACAGATAAAAGTCAGGGTTCTCTTTCTGCTGCTAGGATTACATGTGAGACAATCCGTAATACTGAATTTCCCTTTGTCAAGGGTGTGTTTATGGGACGTTACTATATTGGAACAATAAATTAGTAGCAGTTAATGTATCTATTATTTTGTTAAGAATTTCGATAGAGTTACAGTTAAGCCAATTCTCTTCTTTTTCTAATTTTGTCTGTATTTTAACTGTTGTGTAAAAATAAAGTGTGTTTTGCTTCATGTCGAGTAGTTTGACCAATCGAGTTGCATTTGGAATGCAACAACTTACATTTACCTTTAAAATAAGAAAAAGTTAGGGTCTAGGCTATCTTCTAGACTATATTTTGAGGGAGCTTGGTCTGGTCCATAACAAATTAGGGCTTCTTGTCGGGATCAACATCTCTAATTCTGGGTTGGGTTTAGGATTATTGGACTCAAAGGCAATGAGTGGTGATTGTAGTTTATTGTTTGTTGCATTCAGTTGGTTTAAACAGGGTGTGCCTTGTGTAATTATGGCTCTTTCAGTTGCTAGGAGTTTCCTGGGGTTGTTAGAAGTCACTTTGGGTGTTTTACAAAATGTAAGGAAGGCGAATCTTTTGGAATTGGCAAACAAATTGAAGTCGGAGTTGCCTGTGTCTGTGAGGAAAGGATAAATAGTTGCAGCAATAGCTAAACATTTACAATTGCCAGGAATGCAATCGGAATCATTGGAAATTGCTAAAATTCAATTACAAATGAAGCAACTTGAATTAGAGGCAACGGCAAGGGACAAAGAAAAAGAAAGAATAGCCTGGCAGAAGAAAAAGTAAAAGAAAGCGAAAAGGAAATGAAACATTTTGAATTACGATTAAAAGCAGACAATAAAGAAAAGGAAAGGATGGTACCTAGCAGAAGAAAGGGAGGAAGAGAGAGTTTTTGAACTTTGGAGATTGGAACTGAAAACTCAAAGTCGACTAGAAATGGTGGAGGTAGAAGTGAAAGGTAGAAGTAATGATGAGGACAGTGATGGAGAGCAATCTCATTGTAGCCAAAGTGGAGATCGGTTTAAATACGTCCAAATGTGGTCTAAGTTTGGGGAGAAAGATGTAGAAGCCCTTTTCATTTCATTTGAGAAAGTGGCTGAACAACTGAAATGGCCGGTGACCATGTGGATATTGTTGATCCAAATGACGTTGGTGGGTAGAGCTAGTGAGCATTTGCACTGTTATCAGAGGAGGTATCTGGGGAAGTATGATGAGATGAAAAATGCCATCTTAAGTGCATATGAGCTAGTACCAGAAGCCTACACACGTTTTAGGAATCTAAAGAGGAAACCTGCTCAAATGTACATAGAGTTTGAAAGGATCAAACAAAGTAACTTTGATAGGTGAATAAAGGCACTGAAAATAGATCAAATATATGATGCTCTTAGAGGGCAATTATTTTGGAGGCATTCAAAAATTCACTTCCTGAAGTAGTGAGAACTCATGTGGAACAGCAAAGATAGCCTAGTGGTACTGTTGGTAGACTATTAATCAAGAAACCCCAGTAATGTTCTGGGGACCTGGGTTCAAATCCTGCCAGGGCAGATGGGGGAATTTAAATTCAATGGAAATCTTGAATTAAGAATCTGATAGTGACCATAAATCCATTGTCAATTGTAGGAAAAACCTATCTGATGTCCTTTATGAAAGGAAACTGCCACTCTTACCTGTTCTGGCCTACATGTTACTCCCCACCCACAGCAATATGGTTGATTCTTAACTGTCTTCTGACCTAGCCAGCTACATCCTCATCCCATGAAAGGAAAATAAAAGTTAGGACTGCAAAATTAGCGGCAGAAATGGCAAATGATTATCAGTTGATTCATAAATCAACATTTGGCTTCTGACATTAGAAATTGGGGAAAAGGGAAATCCTTGGGTGGTAAGGGAAAAGGAGATTACATTGAAGATAGTAAAGATAGTTTACAACAGGGTAAAAAGGAAACCCATGAGGGGGAAAGAGAAGCAAAAAAGCTCAGGTGTTTTCACTGTAATAAAGTAGGCCACGTAAGGTCACAGTGTTGGTGGTTTAGGAAAAAGCACTGGGATGACGGATGTGGGAAAACAGGAGAAGCCAGTGAGTTTTGTTGAAGTGGTAAAGAAAAGCTCAGTGGAAGCTAAAAGGCTGCAAAAGAATGTACAACCTGATCTGGGGTTGGTTGAGAAGATAGTGCCAAATCTCTTTAAAGAATTTACTTGCATGGGTAAGGTTTACTCATGTATGCCAGGAGGAGTAGGAAATGAAATTAAGATTTTAAAAGATACAGGACCAAGTCAATCTTTGATGGTGAGAGAGGAGGAGATATGTAATTCATAAGGAAGGTTGTCAGAAAATGTGGTAAAATGTGGGATTGATGGTGAGAAGAACAATATTTCAATATATAAAATGAGGTTGGAGACTCCGGTGAAAAGTAGTGAAGTGGTGTTAGGAGTAACAGACAAATTCTCAGTTCCAGAAATATAGTTTATCCTTGGTAATGATACAGCTGGATCATTGGTGACGGTGATGCCTACTGTGGTTGAAAAGCCAGCGGAAAATCAGGTGACTAAGGTGTTACAGGAAGTATATTCTGGGATTTTTCCTGACTGTGTGGTAACAAGGTCACAAAGCCATTGGTTGAAACAGGAGGAGAAATCAAGGAGTGGAGATAAGAAAGTTGAAGTTCAATTATCAGAAACTATATTTGCTCAAAGGGTTGAGCAAAAACAAGTAAAGGTGGAGGACATATACGCCTCTTAAAGCCACAGTATCATCACACCAAGCTTTCAGCTGTAGCTGAGAGAGAGGAAGCTTCCACATCCAATTTCAAAACCCAAATAACTTCTGAAAGCTAAATTAAAATACCAGTTCTGCGGGAGCCTGACTCCAGCCATTCATGCTGCTTCTATTCTAATTTTTAAAAAAACACCAGGCCTCACAAGGCGTTTACTTTATTGGCTTGGGAGAGACAGCTTGGTACCTATGGCTCAAAACCTCTCTGCATAAAAAACAGGACAAAACACACCTCTTAAAGCCGTAAAATGGTCTATTTTAAGACTCGTTGAAAAAGGTCTCTGGATACATCAACCGTACCTTTCTGAAACTCGACCTGTCCATTTCAATCATGTGCATCCAAGGAACCAGTAGCACAATGAGAACATATTCCTCCACCTCATCAAACAGTTCTTCGAAAGGTGGCTCCAGATTTTGATAGATTATTTTCTTGCTTTCTGCATCTATTTCCACATCTTCTGGAGATTCGTCAACAATGTATTTAGCAAAAATTAACTGAAACAAGTGAACAAATTGTGAAAAGGTCACTTTATGAATGGGTTTTAGGGTTCTTTAAAACCATTTTTAAAAAGTGTTTTTCAGATGTGATAGGCCGAATGGCCTCCTAATGCACTGTAACAATTCTGGTATTCTAAATTATATTGGCAATTCCTGGATTGCAGAGTCAGTCATAAAAAACGCAGGTCAGTAACTAAAGAAATTTCTATGCTATCTAATCTGGGTTGACAGCTGTTCACCCTCTGCTTAAACAATACAGAATGCAACAATCTTAATTTTGTGCATTTGTTGTGTGATATTGTAGGTTTTATGAAAACTATGATAAAACAGCATTTCTGCTTTAACAATTTGTACATGGGAATTAAATCAACAAAAAGTCTATTCAAGATGAAAGCCACAGTAGGCCACATCTGTTACAACAGCTGTCACCTGGTGCTTGCTATCCTTGGTATGTAGAAACTTCAGAATACTTCCTGTGTACTGTAGGGTCGATATGTGTAGACAGTATCTGCAGCTGTTTTTGCTTAAGGTGTGGGTTGTCATGTTCGATGGGCCGATATAGTCACTGTGGAGAATCAGGATTACTAAGAGTTTTCGGCATTTACTTGTTATACTTGTGACATTCATAAAACTCTCAGACTTTGGAACTGTGGCTTTAAATTTAGGACAATTGAAGGGTGGGGAGGGGGACACATGACCTGTTCTACAGTCTTTCTGACACTAGGAGAGACAATTGATCATTCAAAGTCAAAAAAGTATTCCCACTTGTAAACAACGGCAGTTGTCTCTGAGTCTACAATAAGTCGAACAAGTCTCCTAAAGTCCCATAAAGGTGTTGTTGGTATTGGGTTGTAAGCAGCGGTGCTACAGACTTTTTATTTACCTCTAAAATGAAAGGGAGTTGGGAGCAAAGATAGCTGATTAGCATTTTTATCTACAGACAATGTGTTTCACATTACCATGAAAAAGGTAGGGGAAACCATTTGTGAGGTCAGATATAGTAGGAACTGCAGATGCTGGAGAATCTGAGATAACAAGGTGCAGAGCTGGATGAACACAGCAGGCCAAGCAGCATCAGAGGAGCAGGAAAGCTGATGTTTCGGGCCTAGACCCTAGA